AGTACCAACTCGACATTGTTGGACTCTCGTCAACAAAACGCCCAGGCTCTGGACTCCTGAACCTCAATCGTTGGAAGCTGTTCTACTCAGGCGTCGATATCACGACTCGCGCACAGGCCGGTATTGGCGTTCTGGTAGAACCCAACCTCGCCGATAGAATAATCGATTGGAAGCCTATCAGCGAAAGGGTGGTAAACTAGTATAACTGTTTCAGTGTTCGCCATAGATTTACTGGACTTTAACGAACGGAAGAGAAAGCGACATTTGCCGGGCTTCGTACTTCGGAGATGCCCCATTCCCAAAAATTTTGAGAAAATCTATATAGTAAGGCTAATAAATATGAAATTTTTCTTACTGTTTATTCTCTTGAGCAATGAATTAACGCCAGGTTGCTTCGGGATAACCAGCCAAGAAATTGATTACAAGCCGTCGACTGCCGGGCTAGAGTGATAACATGGTATTCTAATATGGGGATGTGTAAATTGTCAGTTGCTAGGTTTTACCTTCTGATTCATAGAACCTTCACGTTTGCCGTTTGTTTTGACCAATTTTGTAACTGATATTTAGTGTTTTAATCAGCAAAACGTGTGAAACCCACTGTGCGGTTGTAGGTGATAGGATATAATACTACGCCGTAATTATTTTTTTTATTCGATTGTTATATGTCTTTTTTCGCGTTTTGCTACATGCGTATAATATTTATGAGTGTAAAATATTTTTTGGTAAAAATATGAAAGCGTGAAACATCCGCGTTTTAATAGCAAGTTTTTGGTATTATTCAGTGTGCACTTTATATTGTTTGCATTGAACCTGAAAATAAGAAAGAACGGTATCGCCGGATAATTGAAAAAATCCTTTTCGTTATATTCGTAATTACTCGTCGGACAATGTTCTTGACAGATTTTTAATTGTTTTCCGATATTACTTTAAATTGCTTGCTGTGTTTACATCTAGAATTTTGGTTTTGCTTCTGTTACCAAAAAAGCAACGAAATGATTTCATACATTTTTTTCATTTTTTACTGAATATCTGCATTATGAGGTATTGTAGAGGTATAACGGTAATTGTTGTTGATATTAAATATTCTTAAACTTTCTTTCCCTTTTCATGCAGTAAGCTAAACCATTCCTGAGTGTATTTGGTTTGCAAGCTGAGAGTTGCAACTTGGAAGTCAAACTGTCCAAAATAGCTAATGTTTTTACACGCCAGTAATTCAGTGCTCTCTTTTTTCGGAAGCTTGACAGTGCTGTGCACGGAGATGTGCCACATTTCGTTGTTTTATTCGGTCCTTGTACCGTTAGTACTAAAGTAGTAGCATGTCTCTGATGTCCTTCCCTTTACGTACAGCGGCTCATTGATTGGTACCTTCCGTAATTATCATTAATATATATGTCTTGCCCTGTGTTCTACCGTTTCACGTATTCTTTCCGGCATACTCTGTGAAAAAATGATTGGCCTATCATTACGGACGTGTTATTTTTTGGAAAACTTGCTGAAAAAATGCTGAGTTGTGTGATTCTCTGAGCTCGTTTAGTATAGATCAAGGTCAGCAGCAACGGCAGGCCTTGCCTCTTTTCAACATTTTTGCAGTTTCTGTGACTTCATCTGCTGAAAGACTTTGCGTTCCTCAAAGCACTCAGTCGTCGAGATATGTCCTCTTGGAGGGCGTCCGGACTAATCCTTCAGTACTCTTAGACTGCCATTTTTCCGTGTAGGAGGCAGGATATCGTGTGTCAGAATACCTTGTTTTGTCTGCAAATTCGACTCTAATACCTCATTTCTCAGGAATCAGCTTTCGCTGCCGCCTGGCGGGCTTTTTGTGCCAAATGCAACTTCTGAATGCAGCTTTGTCCATGACAGATCTCATGTACTTTCAAAATCCAATAAGTGGTTTGTTTCTGACCTCCAGGCGACAGGCCAACCCGTTTCAATCCGCAGCCCTAAATGAACCATCTTTAAGGCCTTCCTCTCCTTTTCCACATCCGGGTCATCACTGGAAACTGTTTAGACCATCGAGCTATATGGTGTCAGACTCTCTCCAGTCGTTACCTCGCAACCTCCTAAACTATCTCAAGTTGTTTTCCTCGGCATAAGGAAGTATTCCAATTTGCGGCTCTCAGCTCTCGCCGTCAGTATCGTTCGTTGGGAATCATAACTGACTTGCTATATTTGTCCTGTTAGAAATTAACAGTTCAGTATATTGCCAGAACACCTAACCATCCCTGAAGTACCCTGCACGATAATCTAACGGCAGATAACTTTTTCTATAAAGATGTGATGATTTATAAATGTGAAAATAGCAGTTAAATTTGTAAATGTGAACTATAAATTGAAAAACTGAACCATATTTAATTATTCTTTCTCATAGGAACTTTATCCGAAAGTAGCAAATATTAAATAGAGCGTTAACATGATTTACAAACGATATAACAATCTTAAGCTTTACTGCGTAAGCCTGGGAATCAGGATTCTCTAGGCTGGGTTTACAAATGTCCGTGCTGCTTCTAAAAATTTTACATACGAGAAATAATAGAAACTCCGCCGTTGCTGGTCCCAAGCTCAGTTGAGAAAAAAGGAGGGTTAGAGACCGTGGCGAAGTCTGCTTAAAAGTTCACCACCTGCCATCGAAAATTATCGGTCGTCGCCCGGGATACCAAGGGCGGCGCAGGCTATTCGGGGACTGAGGGAGCCTGCGAAAAGTCGGCAACCACAAACTGCTCATCGCTTTCTGGCAGCCGGGGGAGTAGCAGCACAACAACGGCTGAAGAAGACCGACGGAACGATGACGAAGATATTAGTCAGCAACGGAGTCGCTACCCGTTCTGAACGGGAAGCCGACAGCGTGATGCCATTATAGTACGTCAGAAAAGGGTCCACGAGAACGACACAACCAGTGAGAGCATAAATTCGGAAATTTGAACATATTCTCACTCAGAGGAAAAGAACAAGAGTTAGCTGATAAGTCCATAAATTACCAACTCGATATTGTTGGGCTCTCATCAACGAAACACCAAGACTGTGGAATTCTGAACCTCTGCTGGTAGCAGTAATTTTATTCAGGTGTCGATATCACGAGGGCAGCTTAGACGGGTGTGAGTAGGAGGACCCAATCTCTTTCATAGAATCATTGATTGGAAGCCTTTAAGCGGAAGAATGATAATCCTCCTACTGAAGCTACAACAGGCTAAATCGATGACCTTCGTACAGGTCTATGCGCCCAATTTGGAGGGAGAATATGAGACCTTCCTTGAGGAAGTGCGGTGTGCTCTATCCGAAGTGCCGAATACGTAGTCCCTCATACTGATGGGTGATTTTAAAACGCACGTCGGAGTAGACGCCGAAAAGTGTAAATGCGTGATTCAAAAAATGGACTTAGCGACCTCAATATTAACGGCATGAAGTTGTTGCGGTTTTATGCAAACGACGGAATGTCCATTATCAACACCTTTTTCGAGCATCGAAAAGTGCATCAGTACACCTGGTACTGGAAAGG